TGGGGATGTTGTAGATCATGGTAAGGAATTTGAGTTTTGTGTTTTTTTGTTCTAATCTCTCTGGCAGCTGCTTGGAGAATAGATTGTAATAGGTGCTGGGGCAAAAGTAGAGGCAGGGAGATAAGTTAGAAGGCTATTGTAATAGCCTAGGAAAAAGTTGACAGTGGCTTGGACTAAAGTGAGGGTGGAAATGGGAGTTGATGGATTCAAGATTTATTTTGGAAGTAGAATTGACTGGCATAGTAGTGGATTGGATGTAGGGAGTCAGAGAAAACAGAAAAGATGCTGACTAGGTTTTAGCTGCAGGAAACAGATGCATAATATAATATTTACTGAGATGGGAAAAACCAGGAGAGGAGTAGCTTTTGGAGGAAAATTAGGGAATCCATTCTACATATGATGCTTGAGATATCTATTTTATACCTAAGTGAAGATGTTAAGTGGGCAGTTGCCTGTACATACCTAGAGCTCAGGAGAGAGATTAGGAGTAAAATATGTAAATTTAAAAGTCATTAGCATATAGAGAATATTTTACACCATGGGATTATATGAGATCTTCAAGGGAGAGAATTTCATTGGAGAGACCTGAGCCTGGAATCCCTTTAACATTTAAAGGTTGAGAGCAAGTGGAGGAGACAGCAAAGAGATGGAAAAGACGCAACTGATGAAATAGAAGAAAAGGAGAGGATTGTGATGACCTGGAAACCAAAACAGAGGAGCATGTGCCATGAAGGAGAGAGTGGTCAGCGGAGTCAAATCTGCTGAAGTATTAAAAAAAAAAAAGCATATAAGGAAGCATGTTCATTTGATGAGAGGCACCTTCCTTTGGAAAGGCTGGGTTAGTTGCTGCTCCTATGTGATTCTATTGTTCCAGGTACATGTTCTATAGTATCACTATACTTTATTTATTTATTTATTTATATTTATACTTTATACCACTGTACTTTATTGTAACTGTTTTAATCATCTGTGACTCTCATTAGATTTATAAGCTCCATGAGGACAGGGGCTTTTGTCTGATTGGGCTATGTTTGTAGCATGGTGCCTGGCATATAGTAGAATCTGAATAAATAGTTTTTTAATGGAGAATGAATGAATCAAAGATGTATAAAGGCCATTGGCAATTCTCCTTCCCAAGTGAAAAATAAGAATTATCTTACTCTTCAACTGTAGGCATTCCACCAAAATTGAACAACTGAGGTATCCACATGATGACACTGGAGATCATGAACTTGGTTTTCATTCACAAAAATAGAGCAAGAATGGAGGAGAAAGGAGAAGTCATTCCAAAAACCAGGATTCATATACATTATGAATGGTCCACAAACTCAATCTTACAACCATCACAAAACTAGTGAGGCTGTTCTTCCCAGCCTCTTCTTTTTTTTTTTTAGTTGGAGTCTCACTCTGTCGCCCAGACTGGAGTGCAGTGGCCGCTCCCAGTCACCGCAGCCTTGACCCGCTGGGCTCCGGCGATCCTTCCATCTCAGCCTTCCAAGTAGCTGGAACTACAGGTGCACGCTACCACGACTGGCTAATTTTTTGATTTGTTGTAGAGATGAGGTCTCACCAAGTTGCCCAGGCGGGTCTCGAACCCTCGGGTTCAGGCAGTTCACTCACCTCAGCCTCCCAAAGGTGCAGGATTACCGGCTGAGCCACCAAGCCCAGCTCCCTTCTTATAGAAATAATTGAGCAGTACCTCTTTGCATCAGTTTTTTCTATTTGATATTGAAACATGTTCATTGTTAATTTTATTTCACCTGTACAATTATTCTTGGGTGTTTTTTGGGGGAGCAGCTTGTTTTTGGTGCAAAGGAGCCTAAAGAATTTGCTCCCTCACCCAGTCAGGATTCTATTTAGAGTTATGTACTCCCTGAAGAGTCCTCACATTTTTGCTCTTCTTATCTAAGGAGGAAGTAGAGTTCTAATTCCTTGTGGCATTCTCTACCAAGTTTATACAGACCAATCATAGTTGACTCCAAGATTTGACCTAAATTCTTAACACAGAATCTATTCCAGAATTGGCTGGAATTACTTTCAGTGCTTGGACTAATGCAGGCTACTAGTTTTTTCCCAATACACTTATGTACAGTTTCCTATGGCTGTTATAACAGATTATCACAAAGTTGGTGGCTTAAAACCACACACATTTATTCTCTTCCAGTTCTGGAGATCAGGAGTTCAAACATCAGTTTTATTAGGCCCAAGTCAGTATGTCTACAGGGCTGTTCTCCCTCCAGAGGCTCTAGGTGCTCCTTGTCTTTTCCAGCTCTGGTGGCTGTCAGTCAGCATTCCTTGGCGTATGGCTATGTCACTCAATCTCTGCCTCCATTATCAAATTGCCTTCTCCTCTTCTGGGTGTGAATCATCTTCCTCTGCTTCTCTCTTATAAGGGTTCTGGGATTGAATGTAGTGCTCAGTCAGAATATTCCCCCATCTCATGATTCTTAACATAATCTCACCTAAAAAGATCCCTTTTGGCCTGGTGAAGTGGCTCACACTTGTAATCCCAGCACTATGGGAAGCCCAAGAGGGAGGGTTGCTAGAGCCCAGGCGTTCAAGACCATCCTGGACAACATAGTGAGACCTTGTTTCTACAAAAAAATGAGAAAAAGGTTAGCCAGATAGAGTCCCAGCCTGTAGTCCCAGCTATTCAGAAAGCTCAGGTGGGAGGATTGCTTGAGCCCAAGGAGGTCAAGGCTGTGGTGAGCTGTAAGTATGCCACTGCACTCTAGCCTGGGTGACAGAGTGAGACCCCAACTAAAAATAAAATAAAATAAAAATAAAATAAAGACCCTCCTTTCCCAAACAAAGAAACATTTACGGTCTCCACAGACAAGGATCTGATATTTTGGGGGGCCATTATCAACTCACCACAATTTGCATCTACATTTACTCACTCTATGCTCAAATGTATGCCAATCTACATAGATATGTACAAAATCTATGAAAATTGGCAATACCCCTTAAATCTCAACGTGAGCTAAACATGAAAAATTATTTTAACTTTAAATCTTTTTTTACAGTAAAAAAGTGTAAAAATTGTTTTATTCAGTGATAAATGCAAAGTATTACATGCAGGTTTTAAGAAGATCAAGCTATTAAATGATCTGGGATGCATATAATTTGAACAGTGGTTGAAAGGATTGGTTATATTGAAAAGAGAAGAAAATAGAAGCCTTAAAGGAAGACCATATAGCTTTCTTCATACATTTAAAGATGTTTTCCAGAGACTAGGGATTAGATACATGCTGTATAAATTGAATCAGAAACAACTGGAGAGAGGCATATTTTAATCCAATATGAGGAAGAACTCAGCATGAACAATGGAAAGGGCCCCTCAAAATGAAGTACCTCCTTAGTTCTAGAAGTGTTCATAAATATGCAAAGGCCCTAAGGGAAGAATGCAGAAGGTAGAGGTAGAAACTACATCCTCAGAAAGGATCATGAGGATATTTTGTGAAACATAGAGTCTCTTTAATGGTTGATTCTAAATAAATCTAGGTAATATTATCTTTCTCCAATACACTTTTCAAATCACAGAATGATTTTTAAAAATCAGAGATGATTATGTCAATCCCCTTGATTAAAAGACCCTTTCAGTATTGACCACTGGCTTTCTTGCCATCTCTTCTAGAGTTTTTTTCCTTTATCCATTCTTGTCCCACTTTTAATCGCTTTTTTTCCTTTATCCATTCTTGTCCCACTTTCAATCGCTTTAGATGCTCCTTCCTACTTGAAGTCATTGGACATTTGCTAGCAAAGCTTTCCTCTCCTTCTTGCCTAAGCTACTCCTACCCAAGATAACTTTCTCCAGGAAGGTTTCTCTAGCATGCTAAACCAGTTGGGTTCCCATATATGCTTGCAAAATACTCTGAACTGTTTAAGATGAAAACATTTATTTTGTAATTGACTATGTCTGTCTCCCCTGCTAAAATGTAAGCTCTGTGAGTACAAAGACATTGTATCTTGTTCAGCACAGTGCCTAGTATATGATATGATAGGCATATTCAAGTATTTTTTTGAATGAATGAATGAGCTTTCTTTTTTTGTGAACTGGCTTGAAGTGTGAAAGAAGTCTGATTAAAAAACATATGTATGTGTGTATGTTTGCCTAACTGACACCAGATTTGTAGTTGCAAAATTTCAGAAATACGTTTCTTGGAGGAGTGTAGTTCAAAGGAAGGTGAAGCAGATGAGGAAAAATAGGTAATTCTCAAACAAGCCAGGTTCGTTAAGGTAGAGTCAGTATGGAATGCCAGAATCTTCATGAAAGACAGAAAAACTGAGGAGCCAAAGCATAATGGCTTAGGAGGTGCCGTTTATTCATACAGTCCCAAATATTTAGAGGGGGGTTAGTATATGTGTTTGACACTTGGGCTTGCACAGACCTTGCCCTTAACAAACCCACAGCCTCAAGAGGATAAAGAAATACTTAGCATAGTAATTTCCAGGGCTTGCGGTAAGCCAGTATACCAGTAGTCATGAAATACCTAACTCAGTGGGGAGGTGAAAGGGAGGAAGGCTGGGGATAAGGATTGGGTGATCAGGGAAACCTTTCCGGTTTAAGCTGAGACTTGAAAGATGAATAGTAGACCAGGCGATCGGAGTCGGGGACAACTGAAAGGCGTTCAATAGCTATGATTTGGGATCGTTGAGAAAGAGATGCAAGATTTGGCTTACACTGACCCCTGGTGTGAGAGGTCATTAGTCTTGTGGACATGCCCTGGGCGAGAACCATGATGTTCGGCACTCCATTCCACCAGAGCCGGGCTTGCCTCAAACTCCGGGTTCCCCACTCCCGCAGGCTCCCAGCAACTGCAGAGCGGCGGCAGCTCGCAGACAGCGGGGCTGGAGCCTAAACCGCCCGTCGCGCTCGACTCGCGTCCAACTCCACCCCTGGAAGAGGCCCAGAAGCCCCGCCCACGTCCGGGCAGGCTCTGCTGGGCCGAGTCCCAGGGGCCGCCCGGCCGCGGCGGTCACGTGCCCCGAAGTGTGACGTAGGAGGAAGGAGACGCCATTAGAGGTAGGCGGAGAAGGTTCGCCGTTCGGCTTTCCTGCGGTGCCTGACGTGGTGGCCGGGGCCCTTCATTCTCGGACTTTCCCCGGCCCTTCCAGGCCTCGCCGCGAGGAGAGAGCGGAGACGGCGCTCGGGTCGCTGGGGCCGGCGCGGCTGGGGCTGAGCCTGCCGCTGCTGTGAAGGCGCTGCCGCGGCTCTAGGGAGAGCTGCGCGACTCTCGGACGCGGGCGGCCGGGAAGCGACGGGATGGCTGCGGCCGGCGGCGGGGCGGCGGCGGGCCGAGCCTACTCGTTTAAGGTGGTGCTGCTGGGGGAAGGCTGCGTGGGGAAGACGTCGCTGGTGCTGCGCTACTGCGAGAACAAGTTCAACGACAAGCACATCACCACTCTGCAGGTGCGGACCCCGGGGAGCGGGGGTGGCGTCGCAGGGCCCCTACCCCTCGGGGCTGTGAGGACTTTGCCGCCTCGGCCCCCTGGATCTGGGCTGGCAGACCGCAGGCCTGTCTCCTCCGCCTTCTGATCGCCTTTCCGAACTCGCCCTGGGGACTCGCCGGGTCAGGGCAGCCGGTAAACGTAAGGACAGGCTGTTGGGAGGGCAGTGGAAAGGCCCTGAAAAGTCCCTCCACATCCCCCCTTGGTGACTGCGCACGTCGTGGAGTCCCGGGCCGCGGTCTAGTTTTCCCCCTCTCGATGCGCTTCCGCTTGGGCCCCAGGTTGTCTTCAGCACTCCACTTTCCGAGTGCTAGCCCCTTTTCTTTCTTTCGGGATCAAGAACTTAGCTGCGAATTTGATTTTGCGAACTAGGTGATTTGTAACTTCGGCGCTTGCTGATGACTAAGTGTTTATGCAAGTTCCATTTTGTCCTGTCTTCGAGTCACTGGAACGGCAAAACAGCCGTCTCTGGAGGTTATTTTTTGAAATGACCGCTTGCCGAGCAGAGTTACGCAGTTGCATTGCAGCCTGCGGGGTCAGTCTTTCTGCGAGCTCTGTCGACCCGCGTTGAAACATCATGTGACTGTCGGCCCGGAGTTGGTCCCCAAACTAAACGCTTAGCCTCTGCTGCTGTTCATTTTCTTTACTCGTAATAAAAGGACAGCTTTTTGCTGCCGTTACGTCGGAAAGGTGTCAAAACGTAATCATTAGAATGAAGCCACGCATTTGAGGGAGTTGTTGTCTCCCCACTCTCCCAGAGAAATCAGTTATCATGTGTTAGAAGAAATATGCCCTCCTAATTTGACTTGTTTGGTCAGAGGCAGTAAAGTCTAGTGGATGTTTCAGCCTAATTGTCTAGGTTCGTAGCTCACTTCATCCATTTAACTAGCCGTGTGGTCTTGGGTAAATTACTTAACCTGTCTGTGCCTAAGTTTCCTCTCCTGTTAGAATAACCATAATAGTAGTATCTAGCTCATAGGGTTGTCAGGATAAATGTATGTAAAAGCACTCACGACCTGGTCCAGTGTACACTTTCTATTATTACTGCTTAATTTGCACAGTAGATCTTAATTAGTAATTTTGTGGTGTGCAAGAACATGGACACTTTAGTAGAATGCATAATCTCCTAATTGTTGTGACATTTGATGTTTGATGCTATTATTAAACTACAGAGTCTAGAATTTACAAAGATGCTCTGGTTCTGATTCCATGTTCTATTTTTACTCCTCTTTTCACTCCTATGTGAAACATCTGAAAAAGTGAATGTTAAGAAACTGCATTAAAAAAAATAATTGTACAAGAGCACTTACAAGATTTTAATAGTGACTTGTTATCATTGAGTGTCATTAGTGAGAGCCTTGTGTTTTAGATCAAGGAAATTCATAGGATAAATACTATGATCATTTTGAAGTTTGGAAATTCATTTAGTAAGTAAAAACAATAGCTAACATTTAGTGAATTCTAACTTGCCTTTTGTCATTTAATTCTTATAACAGTCTGTGAAGTGGATAGTTTAGTGGATAGTTAGTCTCATTTTACAGGTGAGGAAACGGGTTTAGTTGAGTAACTTGCTGGTGGTCATGTTGCCAAAAGGCAATGGTACAGTGGTCCCAAGCTCATATTTAGACCCCATCTGCCTTTAGATTTTCAGCAATTAAGTCACACTGCTTCTGGATATTGGTAAACAACCCCTCTAGCATTTTTCTTTGTGCTAAGACATGAGATTAAAGAGAAAACTATTGTAATTGATATCTTGTTACACTTTCACTATACATTTCTAAAACATTCTCAGAGCTAAAAGCAGACTCAAGATTTTAAATATGTGAGAGAAGCCACTGCAATCCCCACAGGAGAGGATGAAGTTATGGTAGATCTCCAGTATTAAAAGCATAGCAGTTCTGATTTTAATAAATAAATGACTCACACAGTCAGTATCTAGTTTATATTACAGACTTGAGGGTTGTTATATATTAACATATGGGAAAAGCACTGTATCTAATCTCTTTCTCTTAGCTGTCCAGTTCATCTCAGCTTAACAATTTTTTCAGAGAAATTTGTGTGACCTGTAAGATACAACCTAGTGTCCTTTAAATTTCCAAATGGGGAGAAGATAATCTCAAGATATGAGAGGGAGCGGTCACCTTTTTTTCTTGTAAACAAACTACCCCTCTTTGTAAAATACTTTGTGTTTTGCAAAACACACTCCCGTGTATTCATATTTCAAAGAATTGCAGAACTGACAGGAACTTAAGATAGTTTGTGGTTCACTATTTCAGTCTTTTGTTCAATAGTTCAGTCAAGTGGTTGCTCACTTTTTTAAGATCTTGGAGGTAAAATGAACTGATGTCGTAGAAAGTGGAAAACTCACTGTGTCCTAAGGTGGCTTATTTCTTTTTTAGACAGGTCTAATTTCTGTTAAGTTTTTCTGTAGTTTCCAGTCCTCTAAATCTTAGTGTCTTGTATTACATTCCTTCTGATAGATGAAGATAGCTATCGCATCCCTTTGAGTCTTGGGTAAACACCTCCAGTTCCTTTAACTGGATCTCTAGTGACATTGTTTTAAATCCTTTCACTATATTGATGTCTCTTCTAGACACTTACCATTTAATAATTGTCCTTCTTTCCTTAAAGTGTGGTGCCTTGAGCTGAAGAAATAATTCCAGGTATGGTCTGAACTATACAGAGAAATGCAGGCCTTCACCCTCCCCTGTTGATAAATCTTTCCCAACACTGAAGTAGAAAAGATGCTATGAGATTTTTTGGCAGCTGTCACATTGATACATGTTGAATTTGCTCTTACTAAAAAATAAAAACAACTTAGTCTTAATTGCTTTTTTTAAAAAGGCATTATATCCTTACAATTCTTTTTTGATTTTGTAGGGTTTTTTGTTCTAATGTACTTAACCCATTAAAGTTGGCTTTAATAGATTTGCTCCAATGGTTAAAGCCTCTTAGTGTCATTTTAAATCTTTTTTCTGTAATTCACGAAACAGTAACTGGGCTTCTGTGGACTAGGCACTGCCTGGGGTCTTGGACATGCAAAGAAGAAAAAGGCATGGGACCTACTGCCTACATTAGCTACTTTTTGACTTTGTCATCTGAAGATTTGGTACCAATGCCTTTTGTGTTCTCATCAGGTCATTAATAAAAACTTTGAAAGAAAAGGGAGAGAGGGTCCAGTTCAAACCTCTGCAGCAAGTCTTGCTGTAGTCCAGTGATGCATGGCCAGAGGTGCATGCAGAATCTTAGGGTGGGTCTTTTTCAGATTATGATGAGCCACAGGCCATCCACTCGTCTTTACCCTTGCTTGAGAAACACAATTTGTTAATGGAATATTGTACATATTAATGCTTTTGATAAAATTTAAACAGTTAACCAGCTTTGCAGTTCTCCTTTTTACCCTAGCCACGTCTGTCTTGCCCACAAGGTTATCATGAGATGCTTTGTCAAATGTTTGTAGTACCCAGATCTATTAGGAGCCCATATGGTGTGGTAGAAGAGAAAGGACTTTGAAGTAGACCTGGATTTGAATTCTGACTGCCACTTCATAGCTTTTGTGATTTTGGCAAGATATTCTAACGTCTTGTTTATAAATGGGCTCCTTATCTATAAACAGGAGTACCTCACTCATAGGACTTTTATGTGGCATATATACGTGGGGGACCCAAAAAGCCCAGAATTTGTTTATAAGAGAATTGTCTATTTGTTCTTAAATGTTAAACTTCAGTTATTTTCAAAGTACTCTTTTTGATGCAGTACCCCTATCGAGATGCTTTTTTCCACTGCTCAAAAAGTTTTTGAACTTGTCAGTTTTGATGCCTTTTTAGTGCTTCTGCTGTTTTTTGTTTCACTTCTTCCATATCAACATAATGTTTCCCTTGAAGGACTTTTTTCATCTGAGAAAACAAAAAAAAAATTGCTTGGGGCGAGATCAGATGAATAGGGAGTATAGCGCACAGGGGTCATGCCATTTTTAGTCAAAAACTGCTGAACATTCAGCAAGGAGTGTGCAGGTATATCACCTATCATGAAATGGGCAAATGCACTGAAAGAATCTCCAAAAAAATTCTCTGAAGTCGAACGCAGCCTCACAATAACACTAGCTATTACACTGATGGCAATGGGTTTGGTTCCAAAAACACCTAGTGGGGGAAGCCTGTACTACAAGGGACCCATCCTTCAAAAGATAATTTTGTTTTTGGGGGGTGTCCTGCTTGTAGATAGCTATCATATATAAAGCTGCTAGTACAAAGCCTGGCACATGTTTGTTTAATAGGTGTTTGCTATTGAATGGACAGATGGTACGTGATTTATGTTTGTTTCTTTCTTCATGATAACACAGTCAAAAAAGTTAATGACTTAATTTGACATTAATTCTTTTGAGACCCCATATTTTTTTTTTAAAAAAATGTTTAATTATTCTAGATTTTTGACTGGGATTGACATTTCTGGAATTCACTTTTCATTTTTTGAAAATTATGATGTTTGCCATACTTTGGTGTTTTAGTACTGCTCTCTTTTTTTCAAAGCTTCTCCAAGGTTACTGGTACTTAAGGAGTAATTTTGTAGGTAAGCTCTCTGAACTTTATATTATATATCGAGTCCCCAAGTTCTCTTGTGTTATTTTCTCGCTTATTTGAGACTTTAGTAAACTTGACAGAAACAAGAAAGACAATTGGAGTAAGATAGTTATTCTGAAGGCAATATGGTTGAATCTAAGCAATTAAATTCAAGAAACATTTATTTTATACCTGTTATATGTCAAAGATCGTACTAGGTGGGGAATGTAAAGATGAGTAAGGTACTTTAACCATCAGTTACCTTTCTTGATTTTATTCTTAAAGGATTGTGCTATTTTGTTGTCACTCCCTTCTGTCTTTGGTGTGTCCTATTTATGCTCCTGGGTGATGTACCTCTTTTTTCCTTATTGAAGGTGTTTATTGAAGATTATACACTCTAAAG